GCAGTTCCACCAGTAAAAATCTTCCATAATTCAGGCCAATTACAGTCTAGATTTTAAAGGGCAAAACAAACATGCATTTAATTCAACTCAATCCAGTTTTATTGGCATTACACCAGTTCATCATTTATGTAACGCCAAATCACAATAACAGCCACCTCAAGTTGCTTTATATTCTAAGGTAAAACCCCACAATATTATAACGAAAGAAAGGAACCCCAAGAATCAGATGATCGCCTGTGACCAAGCACCAACAGGAAGAAACCTCCATAGAAGGACAGTCATCCCTGTATGTACTACAATAGCTGAAAGAAGGGGGGAAAAAAACAAGGTTAGAATTTATCATTCTAGCAAGTCGCCACTTTCAAAACAAAAAGACAGAGTTCTTGTTTAAACAACGATAAACGTAGGATACTATCACTCTAGTCGGCTGCCCCTTATGAAGGTGAAAGCATTAACGAAATGGAACGCAGTTCCTAAATAAGTAGGAGTAATCAGTCAAAGTCAATCTGGAAGTAGATGACAAAGGCAAAGTCATCTACTTCCTTTCTTTCTTCTTCCTTTTGTCGTCTTCTTCTCTTCCATCTGTTCCTTTTAAAGGTCACAAGAGCAGATCATCTGCATCATCATTGCCACCTCAAACTTTCACATGGCGTGCCTGAGTGACGACAAACTATAAATTATAATGTAATCTCTACGTAGCATTGATGTTGTGTAATTTCTTTTCGACTTACAGAATGGGATTGGCTATCTCCTTAGTTGCTATGGAGAAAGAGAAGGTAAGGTGGAGTATAGGTGTCTGTTTAGTCCATATAAGTTTGAATTTTGTATGTGATTTTAAGTACACTTTTCTACCTGTGCAGGTGTGGTACCATGTTTGCCCGAACCGAGGCAGAGGTTGCTACAACACACGACTGAAGGAGGATGGAGGATGCACCATCTGGTATAATGAAAAAGAGGTGAATAAAGATGCACACAAAACTAGTCTGGTTGATACAGCAGCTCCAATTTACTGTTTGAAATACAAACATGTGTGATACAGCAGTTCTTTTGAAAGGACTGTATAAGCAGCACATGCATTCATAATCACTCTTAGGTTTGGGGTGTGCCAGGTTAATAATCCAATACATTCACCTTTAAAACCAGTTGGGAAGTAAAGTTACACACAACATACTTTCACTCACGCATCCTCATCATGCACTTTAAACTCTGCTTGTGTCATTTCTTTTTCCCCTTTTTCCTCTGATCACAGCTCCTTTCAGAAATCGAGGAACATTTAAAGTGCACCATCACCCAGTGTGAGCCAGACATCAAAGTACCCGTGGATGAGTTTGATGGAAAGGTGACCTATGGGCAGCGCAGAGCGATGGGAGGTATGTGTGACAAAAAGGAAGGATAACATGTCTGCACAAGACTATGGGAATGGTTGCATATGCACATTAAAGTATATCTGTTGTTTGGAAGGATTATAATGAGCATTAAAGGATCATGAGGCAGGTTGTAGTATTTATTATGTCTGCTCGTGTGTTGAGCTTGACCAGGAAACCTGTCGTCTTTGTCTAGGTGGTAACTACAAGGGTCACGTAGATGTTCTGGCCCCAACCGTCCAGGAGCTGGCAAGCCTGGAGAGAGAAGCCCAAACATCCTTTCTTCACCTGGGTTATCTACCCAACCAGCTATTCAGAGCTTTCTGAACCTAACTCCAGCTAGCAGAATAGCACTACATGCCAATCATGTACAATGGGGAAACAAAAACAAAACTGATTTTTAATTTACATGAGTTATAAACTAAAAGGTGTCGGGATTTCCAGAATTTCAGCATTGAATGGCAAAGGACTATTTTTTGTTTTGCATTTAGCGCCAAGGCCTGTTGAGACGGCTGGCACAATGATTTCGACGTCACTTCCTGCTACACTTGAATTGAAAACCGTATATGCTGTATACTTAATTCTGATTGGTTGGTTTGGTTTATATGGCTGAGTGAATCATTTAAGACATTTATATAGTAAAACTTCACTGAAAGTGACTTTGTTTTCTTTTCTCCATTAAACGTTAGTGGCGTTCTCAGCTTGGATTTGGTTTCTTACATTTAATCGTCAGCAAAGAAAGACAAACCTGTATTTGTTATAAGCTTTTCTGTGCATTTAGTTTGTGTTTGTGTCCAGTAATTTCAGTTTGAAGAAATTTTTAAGAAGCAGTGGGGAGATGTTTGGAAAGAGAAACATGCAGTAGATTAAATAAAAGGTACCTATGTTATTATTAAAAAAAATAACTCTGGTTTGAGAAGTCATATTTTAAATTTGGCAATCACAAGGTGTCCATTACCCTAAAGCATACTTATAATAAAAGAATGAAGGCCATTCTGCTTAAATACAGTGTGAGAGGTGATACAGAGGCTAATAACTCATAAGAAAGGGGTTTAATGAGGTCGTGAAAGAGAAAATAGAAAGTAGCCATTTCCTCACAGCCATTCATTTAATGAGATTGCTTTTTTTCTGCCCACATTACCTGCAGCCCACTGGAAGAATGCACTAAAAGACATTTCTGCATTGGTACTTAAAGAAAAAGGGGAAAAATAATTTTTAAGATTGAATTTTTAAATTTACGATAATGTTTTTTCTGAGTTATTCATCCCAGGAGTTCAAATATTTATTTATTTCCACTTGAGCCTTTAAAAGTGAAGCATTCCTTGAATGAAATAATGCTCTTTTCTGAGTTTTCACTCAGTTTTACCACCTTTCCCCAGTCCCTTATTTTTATTAATCTTCACTGGCCCTAAGGCACCTTTGTACATGAACTGTTTGAAGCATTGACTACAGGAAATTGTATTTTATATATTTATTTATATTTTATATGCTTTATAGTCAAATAACCTTTTCTATAGCTTATGTGTAACATTATTGCAATAGCAAAGCTACATATTAAGGCGAAGGAGAATGATCTACATTGTGGTAACATGATAACAGAACTGGACACCGAGAAAAAATATCATCCATATTATGACAGAGCTGGACGCTTGTTGAGTATTTAGTCCATGATGAAGCTGCAGGATCCTCTGGGTGTAGTTTAGTTGCCTAATTTTCAGTCTTTGAAAGTGGATTAGAAATTGAGGCTGCACAACAAGGATGGGAACTGTAGGTCCAAAAACTGAGAGCAGTAAAAAAAAAAAAAACGGGGCGGGGGGAATGTGAATACTTTACACCTAAGGAAAGGATTCAAAACAATAGAGTTTTGGGTTGAAAGCCTGAAGAGATGACCAATTTTTTACTGCTAATGGCTGCAGAAATTACATAAAGGGTTTCTGTATGACTCTTTGAAAATATTTAAGCATTTTTTCTCCTTTCTTTAGTCACTTTTAGTGATTTTATAATAGAAAAGAATTACATGATGGTGAATTTTACTTTGTAAATGCAATATTTTCTTATTCATTTGATCCAGTACCTGTTTGGGAGATCCTTTTGATTATCTTTCTTTTATAAAACTACTAAAAAGAACTATACCATGCCATTATTGTATATCAGGCAGTATTGATTAGTGGTAGTGTATTGCTCTTTGTGCTTATCTCTAAATTCAGTTACAGCGTCAAGACTCCTGGTGGCTTCTGGTTATTTGCTTAAATCTCATGGATTGTGAGTATGCATGTGCTGACAGTTGTCCTGTTCTGAGCTATCATTTCATCAGCTGAAACAATATATGAAAATATCAGATTGTGTAACACTTGAGCGCCTTCCTTGACCACCTACCTTCACAAGTTCTACAAGCCTTATAAATGCAATTACTTACAAATGACTGCATCCCTTCTTCACATGGGCCTCTCAGAAAATGGAATCGTTTTAGCTTTTTACTTTTAACTTTTTAACTTTGTACTGATTCAGCAAACCCAGACATAGAGCTAAGGTCAAATTGATGCGCTTTCAAAATAAAAGTCTTACAAGTGTAAACTAAACTAGGACAGCAGCAGGTGACACAGCAGTCACTACAGCCTTTGCATTTATTAAGCGGTTGTACCACTTAATTAATTCGACTTTTGTACATTTTTATTAATGCAACTAACTAATTAGTTACAGTAAAGTTCTTGAAAGTCACGCTTTTAAAATCCAGAGAAGACTGAAGTATCCCAATGCATGCAAACAAGCTCTGATAACACACACACAAGAAAAACAAACTTCCAGTAGACTTAATTTGCACTTTTTCTTGAGTATATATTAGAGTTTGGTTGGATGCATGTAAATGCCTCAGTCTTTGTTGCATGTCCCTCATTTGGTGTTTTTTATGATGGTGAGCGCTGCGTAACCATTTGGGCTAAAACCCACTATTCTTGTGTAACATCATAATTTATATTAACCAGATAATTCCCTGCCCCTTTCGTCCTCAAGGTTTATGCATTTTCACCCTGAAAGAGAACATTTTCATCATAAAAATGGATTATAGAATAAAGGTGATCACTCAGAACAACTTTTTATGGATTGTGCAGTTTGAGCCTAACAATGCCAATAAATAGCCCATGACTTTTGTTAGCGTAAATATTAAGTGATTACACATATTTAAATGGCATATTTAAAAATGGTGATCATAAAACAGTCTGCTCTGAGTCCATATTTATGTAACCCCAGACTAACACATAACTAAGCAAAAAAAAAAAAAGAGGGGTGGGGTGATACCGTACATACGGAAGAGGATTAGGGCCATTGGGGGGTGGGGAGGTGGGCACATCTTTTCTTTTTTTTTCTTTTTCAGAATTCTTTTTTCTCACAATTCTGACTTTTTTCCCTCAGAATTCAGGAAAAGAAGAAAAAAAAGGACGTGCCCACTTTTCCCCCCAGTGGCCCTAATCCTCTTCCGTAGTTACAACACTAAATTTCACCATTTCCAAGATTTTTTTAAAGATTAATCCAAGCCTGTGTGCAACTTTTCAAGCATTTGTTTTGTTTTTTAACAAACCTTGCTTCATCTAATGTATTGAGTTTGCCGATCAAGTATTACACTTTTATTTTGAAGTAGTGGTGCTCTTCTGTGACGTCACTTCCATAACAGTGCTGTGCAGCGTCTATAGTCTCCCTCCTGAAATTCAGGGATTTCAACTCCGCTGCATCCTTCAAACGTTGTGCCGCAAAGAAGTGCGTAGTTTTACCAAGTGAGAACCACGGCCGTGTGAATGTTGTGCACACTTTGGGTAAGCTTCATCCTGTTTGCGGGCTCCTTTTTGACGTCGCTTTACCGTTGAAGTAGCTGTTTGTAACGACTTCACATCGCCATGTTTAGGTGGAAAGTAGTAAATGCAAACCCTCGATTAGGTTTTTCTTCCGCTGGACCACTTTTAGCACTGCTGCCGTGTTAAATACATGGATGGCATCCTTTTAGTAATAGTAATTGGACTGTGTTTTTTCCCAGATAGCTCAGTGAATTATTGTGATGCACTTCAGTGTTCAGAAGCATTTGGTGCAGTCAAAATAATCGCCATCTGCTGGTCAAAATGCTTTGTTTGGAAAGGACTGTCCAAAAGGTTTCACTTTTATTCAGTAAAGCTGTTTTAACTAATTATTGTTGAATTTGCTCATTTTTTTAAAGAGTCTGTATCCTTTCGTTTAAGTGCCGTGGTAGACAAAAAATACCCCCAGTTTGTCCTTTTGTCAAAGGAACACCTGGTTTGTTTTTCTCCTGGTTAACGGCCCCACTTTCACTGAAGTGTAGCTCACAAACACATGCCCACAGTGTTTGTGAGATGGTGTCTAACAGGGCTGCATGTTTTTATCGTTCTTTAAGGAAGAGCTGAAGAATCAATACATTTATTATTTTTCAAATAAGCTTTTCATTTTTCATGCAGGGCTACAGTGTATCCACACGGTCTCTTTGCTACTTGGATGACAGCAAAGGGACCAGAGCAGGTACCAGACATGCTGGATATGCTGATGTTGGGCAGAGTAAGTAGCCAGAGTAAGTACACTGAAGTTTCACACACAGATCATCGTCTTTTTCTCTGAATTTGTTCATACAGTACAAACGAATTTCGAAGTGCCTTAGACTGCGATAGCAGTAAACGCATATCTTCAAGCTGAACGATACTAAAAGTATACGATCTTTCATTCCCATTTTTTTTTAATTTTATTTATTTATTTATTTATTTTTAATTTAAATTAATGATCATAACGATTAGAAACAAAAATATTCAAAACAAAAACATCTAAAATATTGTAGGGTTTTGGATAACTTTTTACTTTCTTTTCGTCAACACAAAAAAAAGATAAAACAGGACAAAAAGAAGTTTCTGATATATCCTGCAAAATAGTGCAGAAGTATAATACAGCCCCTTGAAATAAATTATAAATAAAAATATGTTTAGGAGGGACCAAATTTAATTTTTTTTGTGCACAGCTTCCACTTGGAAACTGCACCTTTTAGACAATGTGTTTTGTTGTGTAGAGAAATGGGGAGGTTGCAGAATGAAGCATGAAAGCCTTTTGATTTTTAAGGATTCTGACTCAGTAACATGCACATTAGTATAGCACAATTGGCTGGTGTGCATATTTCATAGTTTTGCTGCACCTAGCTCAAGGTAAAAAAAACATTTCTACCATTTGCTTTTGGTATTCCAGCCAATTACAGTAGCTTGTCAAGAAATGAAACATGCACCAGAGATGAAAAGCTCTCAAACTAACAAGGCTGTGAACACTTGGACTGATTCTTATGTAGCAGATTTCTACTTGAGGAATTAAAGCACTTAATACACACATCGTTGTTGAGAAACACCATAAATATGATAATCTAGGCATCATCTGTTTGCCAAAACTATTAGAATGAAATCGCGAATACAAGCATCAGAAATTAGCTTTGTCTGATGGGCGCTCCCGTAGTCATAGGGTGAGGAGTTGAGTCATTTGAGAGGTGTTAACACGTCAAGTGCCTACTCAACCACATCGAAAAGAGACAGCTAAAGCTTCTGGGTGCACCTCCTGGTTGCTGCTGGGCACATCCTACCAGGAGGAATGTTTTTTGGTTTTAGACTAGTCAGTTAATTTAACTTTTTTCTTCATTTAATTAACTAAGAAATGAGTCGCCTACATCCTAATGTAGGTCGGGGGTTCGAATCCACTGAACGGGTACCCTGAGGTACTCCTGAGCAAGGTACCGTCCCTACACACTGCTCCCCGGTCCGCCTGCTTAGTGGCTGCCCACTGCTTCACTGAGTGAATGGGAGAGAGTAATTTCCCCGCGGGGATCAATAAAGTATCCATTATTATTATTATTATTAATTCACACACACTCATATCCTGATGAATGGATCAGACAGCAACTTGAGGTTTAGTATCTTGCCCAAGACTACTTAGGCAATTAGACTGGAGATTGGAGCAGGCAGAGATTGAACCGTCAAGGTTATGATTGGTCTACAGCCACCACAATGTACAATGAAGTCATGTAAATATTCAAAAAGTCTGCATGCAGGAATTCTTATTTAATAGGTTTGTTATGCCTAAAGAGTACACGCAATGTCATTTCTGAGTGCAAAAAACTCCACTGCATTGCTTATTTGATGTTATTAAATACCCAAGAGTTATAGAAATAAAAAAATAAAAAAACCTCGAGTTGCTGCTTGAACTTAATAAATAAAACTTAATGAAAAGCTCTAAAAATTGTGGATTACATCATAACAACTTTGCTTATTTGTAATTTTTTTTTTTTTGAGGGGGGGTTGCAAAAGCAAAATGAAAATCTTCATGCTAAAAACCATTAATAATGATATTAAAATATAATTACATTACTTCATGATATTAAAAAAAATTGGGGGCTGCTTTTGGGAATTATTTTGTGACGTAACTGGGGTTGGGCAATGTGGCTAAAAGCCATTATTGCTGAATTTCTAGGTAATAATTCAAGATCAGAATCCTCAGTTTGCCCACCAATTTAGTTTAAGGTATGTGATCCTGTTATGAATGGTTGTGGCCCTGAACTCAGTCCCTATTAACAAATAGGCCAAAGCTTCGGACTACAATTGGTTACAAGTGTCTGTCCCACTTTGGCCGTCTCATCATGGCCTCTTACTGTTATCATAGCCAGTAATAGTCCAAAAGTCCGATCTGCACTGGTATAAATCAGATAATATAATTAAAATGTAAAATTTCACAAATAAATATTCTTAGCTCAGGGTCAAGTTTCAAAACAGCAGCCCTATGTCCAGTATGAGAACAGATAATATGCTCAAAGATAAAGGTAAAAGATGGAAAAAAATAAAGAAATATCTAGGGAAGCTGGCAGCGTAAGCATGTTTGTTTCACATGTGGACCAGTGCCAAAGTTAATGGAGCTCTGATTCAGTAGGACTACTGTTAAATTACTATCAATATGTGCGTTTTTGTTTTTTTGTTTTTGTCCTGCACACTGTTGTACACTGTGGCTTGCAGTGTACTGAGCTAGCTGTAGTCTTGCAGTATGTCTGTGCCCCGGTATCAAAACCCAAAGCTTACAAAATTATAATGAAGTGGGTAGAATAAAGTGCACTATTATTTTTCTCGGCTGTTATAGTGTGAAAATTGGTACATTTAGACTGAGTTAATGAGTTATGGTTCATATATAATGTAGAGCTGGGCGATAGAACGATAACGATATGTATCGCGATATAACTTTTACTCGATAGAGAAATTAAGCTATCGCGATAGACCTCGCCGCTCTTGTCCTCTTAAAATAAAAAAAATAAAAAATAAAATAAAAAAAGGTCAGCCAATCCAAACTAAGTAGCGCAGAGCCGAACCAATCACAGCCGCAGCGTCACGTCGCGTGACTTGTTACGTACAGCACAAGTGCCAAGCCGCACGTGTGTTTGTTTGGGAAGCAGCCAGCGGGTAATGGAGCCAGCGCGTAATGGAGGAAATGAGTGTGCCGACTAGAAAAATCAACCGAGCGTGACCGAAGAGAAAACAGATGATGGTTCCAACGCCGGAGAGATTGTCGAACGGAAGAGCCATAGAAGTTCCGTAGTGTGAAGGTATTTCGGCTATTTCAAGTCTGACAAAAAACAGAGTAGCGTGCACTGTAAATTGTGCCGAAAGCAAGTCTGGAAATACAATAAACTGGTGCATGCGTCACACTGTGCGCCACGTTATTGTTTCGGTGAAATGAATTTCTACAATACTGTTAATTCTACTCTCTGCAGTGTTTAAATGCTTACATATACACACAGTTACTGTCCCTCCACACATACGACTCGGTTCTGCTTCTATGCCCCAGCTTTGTTTACTTTTTCCCACCGAGGCTTCTAGACTTCTGATTGGCCAACATTTCTGCACGGTTAGGAATCTAGCGCCACCTGCTGCTTTGGCATGTTCATAGCAGCGTTTTCCTTCATTTCTGCCTTTATGTGTGGACGGGATTATTTTTTAAAACGAAAACGGAAAATCTCCGTTTTCAAAAATACCCGTGTACGTGTGGACGTAGCCTCAGTCTCTGACTGGAAGCGCTAATTCGTCATTCGGCTTTTGTCAGACTAAAGTAACTGTTAAAACTGTTTGAAAAGCTCAGCTATACAACAAGGAGAGATTGAGAATTTCCTTTTAGTTCTCAGTTTATTTGATATTGACAAAAGTTAGTCAGTTTTGTCTGTTCTTCTGTAAAACAAACTAAGATTTATTTTTAGAATTAATATTTTGTTTCTAAGTGGAATTGACAATTTAGTCTGTTTCGTTTGTTCTATTTTGAAACTTAAACGCTTTAGCGGCTGCCTTTTGTGTAGTTTGCAATATTTGCCTTTATTTATCTGAAAAAGTCTCATGTTCCTTAAGTACATCTACCCTGTTGAACTTATTATGGGAAATAAATATTTAAATAAAAACAAGCTGCTGATTATTTCACATTTTACTTGTGAGCAACGGCACATTTAAATCTTACAAATATAGTTATTTGGCTTATATCGTGATAGATATCGTTATCGCCTGAAATGAAAAAAACATATCGTGATATGAAAAAATCTCATATCGCCCAGCTCTAATATAATGTATACTATTTTTGTTTCCACACAGGAATAGGGGGTGCAAAGATACGAAAATGGAACTGAAGATGGAGGACACCAACCCAAATAGACTGAAGGACAGCAAAAGGATGGATGCCAACACTGTCTGGCAATGGCGGATTATGCACGTAAAAAAATACTCAAGAAGCCCCGAACCATTCCATTACAGCAATAAAATTGGATTAGATTTTAATGTTGGATCCACGGCACAGAAACTGGATTTACAATTACTGACAAACGGGGTCATGCTTGAAATCTGTGACTTTGCTAAAATGGTTACAAAGGGTAAAAGCCACTTTATCATGAACATTCTGGAGAACAATTTTGATCTTGGTTTGGAAAATGAGCAACAACGGATTCATTTTAGAGCTCAGATTTCAAACAAGCTCAAGGACCTGATGAGGAGGCCTCCTAAAGAAAAACTTGACATTGCTGCTCTTTTTGGTTCTTCTTTTGTGCCAGTGTGTGCCAGAAGCATCAAAAAAGAACCGAATGTGGGAGCCGATTGCCAGTATTTCAGTTTCCAGGTGAAGAAAGAAGATAATGGTAGACATACAAGCAAAATTCCTTGCTCACAAACATCTGAAAAAAAGATTGACCGACTACATGCTGATGTCAGCGATGATGAAGAGGAAATTGAGTGCTTAGGGGCGCAGTTAAAAGAAGAAATCAGAGGAGATGTTCTCCCATTTTCATACCCTTACTGTGAAGAAATTGGTTTGCGCTTTGAAAGTGGTGCAAAACAAAGCCTTGATCCAGGTTTATTGACAAATGGTATGATGGTAGAACTGGTAGACTTTACTAGAGTACTGATTGCATCCTACAGCTCTATTATTCTCAGTGTCCTGAAGCATAATTTTGAACTTGACCTTCAAAATCAACAGGACAAAAAGCAAGTTTTGTTCAGCGTGTCCCAACTGTTGAAAAGGAGAAAAAAACTTAAGAGCACTGGTACTAAAATAAGTCCACATTTTAAGAATGAGCTGTTTTCCTTTGAGACAAATCCCTTTAAAAGAGCTCCTACACAGCTGACTATGGAAGAACTTTTATACGAGAGCTTGAAGAAAAGAAGAAAATACAATTCAAAAGCAAATATGCAAAATGAATGTGACATGGAAGAAGAGACAATGGAAACGGAAAGTAACATGTGGAAGCTGCGTGCTAACCGTGTGAAACAAATCCTGTTGGTACTAGACAAAGAGTACTGTACATTCTTCAGGCCCAATAAAGCAAATTTGGAATTCAATATTGGGTTTGGGCCCAAGAAAAACTTGAGTGGTGACTATCTGACCAATTCTGTTCTGTATAAAGTTGCTCGATTTGCCTTGGCAATGAATTCATCCCAGCAGGAATTCATCATGGAGATTCTTGAGAAGAACTTTGACTTAGGCCTGAAGAACAAGTCTTATAAACCTACCTTTGCATGTGAACTCATGAGTAGAGTAAGACAGCTTCAGAAATGCGAGGTTCCGGTCAAATTCTCTAAAGAAGTTTTTGAACTTCCTCGTCCTGTTCCATCATTCAGAATGACATCTCAGAGAATGGACATTGTTAGCCCAGACCTCAGCAGCAGATTGAGTGTGAAGGAATCTGATATCGCTCCTTCAAATTCTCCTGACTCACAAGCTGAAACTAAACTAAGTCCAAATGATGTAACTACAACTGAGTTACCAGTCCATCTACATGAAACTGAACCCAAGCCACATACTGAAACCAAACCTGAAATAAAGTCAGAGAAAAATGTCTATCCTTATCACTTCTGCAAGGAGATTGGTCTGAAACTTCATGTCAGCTGCAGTCAACAAAAACACAAACTTGACATCAGCAAACTGACCAAAGGAGCAATGATGGAAGTAACAAACTTTGCTGAAAAGTTGTGTGGAACATTTGAGCAGATTTGTCTGGATGTTCTCAGACACAACTTTGAGCTTGATTTGCAAAGTGTCGATTCAGAACTTGCAAGAAATATTCTTGCACACATTCCGGCTGCAAATGAAGAAAGAAATCTTGTGACCCGTGTAACCCATGGGAAATCGAAGCACCCAAAAAGAGATTACCCAATTCTCCCGACACTGAATTGCCAGAATAACCCAAATACAGAAGCATGTAGAGCTGATTCTACTGAGGAAAATGTACACAAAGATGTAAGCAGTACCACTGACACTGAACAACAAGATGACCTCAACTCAGCGCTGTGGAAATTGAGACGTATTCAAATTCAGCACATCCTCTCAGTACCTCATGGAGAACACTGCCCACTTTATTCTTACTCTAGATGTAAGAAATTGGGCATCGACTTTAATGTAGGATCTGGAATAAAACTAAATCTTGACCCAAAGTTACTTACCAATGGCATCATGGTTGAAGTTAACACGTTTGCCGAAGCAATGTTGTCATCTACAAAAGATTTCATCACAGCAATCCTGGAGTACAACTTTGATTTAAATTTGAACAGCGAGGCAAGTCGCAATGCCTTTGGAAAGAAGCTTATGCGAAACTCTGGAGCAATGAAGACAAAGAAACTAGCTGCATCTCAGAAGAAAATACTTTTTCAACTGCCTGACTCAAAATCTGTAGATGAATATACTCCATATTGCCCCAAATGTTATCAAGACAGAATTAAGCGTCATCAAGATAAATCGCAGTCTGGTCGTGTCCCTGAGCAGCCCCAAACTGGGTCAGATGTTTGTGCTGATGCAAAGGCAGAAAGTACTCAAAATGATCGAACCTCTATTTCTGCAGCAACAAGAAAGACTATAATGAGCTGTTACCCCTCATGCAGGAAAATGGGTTTAAGACTCCGCGTGAGTAAAGCACACCGTAAACGTAAACTCGAAACACGTGCTTTGACCTGGGGTGTTATGTGTGAGGTTTATTCTTTTGCCAGGAAACTGAGTGGAACAAAGCATAAACTTGTCAATGATATTCTTGAGCACAACTTCAACTTGGACAAACAGACTCTAGACCTCAATCCTTCAATGTTGTTCTGTAGAGTACAGCCACGAGAAGGAGAGCATGCCTGGTTCAGTGATGTTTTTGTTATTCAGGCACCTCGCAAATGTCCTGTTATTGGGGTTAAAAGGGAAGGACAATCCACCACGCAGACAAATGAATGGAAAGAAACGATCAGAAAAAGACAGCTGGACATGCAGGCAAAGAAGAAAAGGGCCATGGTGTCAAGTGATTATGCCAATGATAGTGTAGGAAGGATTGGATTTGATGAAATGGGTTTGAGTCTAGACGAAACAGTTGGAGTGGACTATTGCTACATGTGTCCTATAGAAGCAGACACACTCACAGATTCAGAAAACAGCGGGAATGAGGATGACATAGAAAACCCAACATCATCTTGCATCTCTGCTCCTTTCCATACCACCACTGATAGTTCCTTCAGTTCAGCAATCGTAGACACAGATATGGACCTGCCATCTCCAAGTCAGCCAGATGAAAGTGGGCTGCTAGAATATGAAGAGGAGGAAGAGATTCCAACAGATGTACCAAATGAATTTGACATGAAAGAAGAGGAAAAGGAAATGGAGAGTAACATGTGGAAGCTGCGTACTCACCGTGTGAAACAAATCCTCCTAGTCCTAGACAAAGAGTACTGTCCATTCTTCAGGCCCAAGAAAGTTAACCTAGAATTCAATATTGGGTTTAGACCCAAGAAAAATTTGAGTGCTGACTGTCTGACCAATTCTGTTCTGTATAAAGTTGCTCGGTTTGCCTTGGCAATGAGTTCATCCCAGCAGGAATTCATCATGGAGATTCTTGAGAAGAACTTTGCATTAGACCTAGAGAGCAATAGCCACAGATACACCATTGCATGTGAACTGATGAATAAAATAAGACAGCTTCAGGAATACGAAGATCCAGTCAAATTCTCAAAAGAGGTATTTAAACTCCCCGATTCCATGTTTTCAATAGGCACGAGATACCAGAGCATGGACAGCAGCATATCAAGATTGGGTGAGTCTGATGTTGAACCCTCACATCCCCCTGATTCAGATGGTGAAACTAGACCAGACCCACATGTGTCAACTATACCAGGTTTACCAGCTGGTCCACCGAAAACAATATCCGAGGAAAGTGTGAACCTGTATCCCTTCTCCAAGGAGATTGGTCTGAAGTTGCATGTAAGCTGCAGTCAACAGAAAAACAAACTTGATGTCAACAAACTGACCAAAGGAGCAATGATGGAAGTGACAAACTTTGCTGAAAAGTTGTGTGGGACATTTGAGCAGATTTGTCTGGACGTTCTCAGACACAACTTTGAGCTTGATTTGCAAAGTGTCAATTCTGAACTTGCTAGACATATTCTTGCACAAATTCCTGTTGCAAATGATCATAGAAATGTGGCAACCTGGGTAGCTCAAGCAAAGCAAAAGAACACACGAAGAGATTATCCAATAGTCATGAGACTGAATTGCCAATACAAGCCAGATGCAGAAATATGTAGTGCTGCATCTACTCGAACAGTCAAGCACCAAAATGTAAGCACTTCCACTGACAAGCAACAAAATGACCTAAATTCAGTTCTATGGAGATTGCGTATCAATCAAATTCATCGCATCCTCTCAGTGCCTCATGGAGAACATTGCCCACTGTATTCTTACTCCAGGTGTAAGAAATTGGATATGGATTTTAATGTCGGATTTGGAGTAAAGCAAAATCTGGACCCAAAGTTATTGACCAACGGCGTCATGGTTGAAGTTAACACATTTGCCGAAGCAATGCTGTCATCCACAAAAGATTTCATCATGGAGGTCCTGGAGTATAATTTTGATTTAAATTTGAACAGTGAGCTATCTCACATTGCCTTCGCAGAGCAGCTCATGCAAACCATTACAACACTGAAGTCAAAGAAATTCAGCCTGCCTCAAAAGAAAAAGCTTTTTAAACTCCCTCTGTCAGTTTTCTTTGAGGAATATATTCCAGATTGCCCCAAATGTCATCAAGATAAAAATGGCAAGCTTGTCCAGGATGAATCTCATTCTGGTAATGTGCTTTGCCATCCTCTTGCCGTGACCAGCGTCATTTCTACTAACGCAAGCAGCGCGGTAAAAGGGCCTCCAGATGATCGAACCTCTTTTTCTGCATCAGTAGAAACAATATTGAACACTTACCCTCTCTGCAAGAAAATAGGTTTAAGCCTATGTGTGGACAAAGCTCACCCAAAACTTAAACTCGACACATGTGTTTTGACGTGGGAGGTCATGTGCGAGGTGTATTCTTTTGCCAGGAAACTGTGCGGGACAAAGCACAAGCTTGTCAATGATGTTCTTGAGCACAACTTCAGCTTGGACAAGCAGAGTCTAGACATGAATCCTTCAGTGCAGTTCTACAGAGTGAATCCACATGATGGAGAGCCCGCCTGGTTCAGCGAAGTTTTTATTATTCAGCCACCTCGCACATTTCAAGTCATTGAGAGTGCAGAAGAAGAGCTTCCCACTGTGCAGAGAAATGAATGGAAGGAAACGGTTCGAAAAAGACAACTGGAAATGCAAGCAAAGAAGGAAAAAGCCATGCTGTTAAGTAATACTCTGAGTGCTGTGACATTAACAAAGAATAAGCAGAAAAATCTCTATCCTATTTGCAAGAAAATAGGTCTGGACCTTGATGTTTCATCAAAATCAGCGGACAAAAAAAAGCTGAACTTGAAGTTACTGACATCATCGGTGCTGTTGGAAATACAGAAATTTGCAGCAACGAAAAGGAACCAGTATTTCCCAGCTATTTTGTTTGACATCCTAGACTATAACTTTGAGATTAGCTCACAGCATCACAGGCGCTGGGAATTTTCAATCGCTGCTGCAACCAAATTCCATTCGATGATCAGACAGTATCGAAATACTGGAATAGAAAAGATCTTCAAGTTACCATTTCTGTCTGGACCCAAACTCCCACAGAGCTTAACACAAAATCTGCAAAATAATAAAAGTGCTCATAGAGTGGATGGAAACCAATGTGTGCAGCCAGCAACATATCATGCAATCCAAATGCAGCCAGTGACAATAATGCAGATGAATGTCAACCCTATGAACATCCCTACGATTACCTCCATTTTTACACCTATGATTACCTCTGTAATCAACCCTATGGTTACCCCTGTGATTAACCCAACAATTACCCCAATTTTTACACCTCCAGTTACCGTCATTAATACCCCTACAATTGCCCCCATGAGCACCTCTACACTTACCCCCATGAATACCCCTACGATTACCTCCACCAGTACCACCACAACTGTAGGTTGTGACGGTTTTCTTCCAGGAAACCTCCAAATTAAAGAGGAGGAAGATGATCCACGTTATGGCAATATGCCATCACTGGATGTTGAAACAAACTATCACCAAGGTAATGATGATGTAAGAACTGACTTAAACACTGAGGCTGCCAAGAATTTAGTCCCAGGTCATCCTGCAGGCTCCCTTGGGCATACCGCATGTCCAACCTCTGAAAGCAATAATGGAAGCAAGTCATCACAGCCCTCTGATGGATGTGTGCAAACTGCATCTCTAAGTAGTGAGACTGTCATAAAAACCGAGTCAGACACTGAGGGATACATGGATTACTACATGGTAACTGTAGGTCAGGACACAGAGATAAAAGAGGAGCAGGAACATGTGCCAGCTGGAAGTGCAGAAAGTGAAGTGGATGTTAAACAGGAATGTGAGTGTTAATGGAAAAAAATGTCTTTTGTATAGACCATTAAGTTTGAATAATGTTGCCTTAATCCCTGTGAAAAGCTTTTTGTTGTTGATGGAGAAGGAGAGTTCAATCTTTTTTTTTTTCTTTTTCTTTTTTTTTTTTAAAGCGATCTCAATCTATACAAATATAGTAGAGCTATGGGTTAAAAGCCTGAAAAGATGGCTCATATTGACCAAAAGCTTTCAGGGCAAATGTCTGCAGCATGGAACCACATGTGTTATTTCCCTTCTGTAGCAGCCTTTTAGTACTCTAATTTATAACAAAGAATTTGGATGTTGAACTTCATAGATGTTGTTTCCTTTTTTGTTCCTTTCCTTTTTTCTTTTTATCCATTGAGGTATCCTGGACTGTTTGTGAAATGCTTATCATTCTCTTGCTTTTTGTTTTATATAGTTTACTTTTTTTTTTTTTTTTACATATGTATGTATTTCACTTTATAAATGAGCAAACATAGAAATACGTCATTATTGTGTAAATATGTATATACAAAAAATTTTCAGATAATTTTCCAGAATGGCAACAATAATGTAAATTACTAAAACTGATCCTGCAACACAAATAAATGTATGTATTCATATTTGAGGTAATATACACATTGATAGCTCACTGTATGTACATTTTGTATAAAGGTTTGAAAGCTCGAACCTGTCATATCGTCATGGTGTGTTTTATTTATATATATATATGTGTAAATATTACAGTGGCGAGCAAATTTTTTAGCTCGCTAACCAATGTAAGGTGTTTGTGATTAATACTTGTATTCCCAACCAAAAAAATAGTCTTGGTATTTAAATGTTATGCTTGATCAGTTTCTTACTGAAGTCCAGTGTGCCTAATTAACAACAATATAATATTTACTTTTAAACAAGTTTTTGTCAGGTTTCCTGAATATTTGGGTTTTCTTGTGTATGTGTCTAACATTTGCTAAGTATTGCATATTTAATTGTAGCTGAAATTTTCATACTAGAGGCTTAAAGATTAGACTTGGTGTATGATTTTGATGTAATGCCAAAATTGGGCTGTTGGTGGTGCTCAATACTAACATAATTTACTCCTTTTGTGGACCTTATATATTCTACAAACCATATAACCATTAAAAGAAAAGTGAGTAAAAGACTTTTTCTACATGGCTTTAGGGATTTTAAAAAGGAATTCTATCCCCAGTTCACTAAAATAAAAAATTCAAAAAGACAAATCACTAAATTGTCTGTTGGGGTGCCACTCTGTTATGTTTTGTATAAGTTGTTTGTAGATTTTGATTATTATTATTACTAATATAAGTGGCTGAAAATCCAACATACAGGTGACAAATGAAAGAAAAAAGTGATTTGTGAGCAAGACACAAATGTCTACTGCAAGACAAAATCAGTGTGAAGGACTGGTATAGATAACAACTTTCAGGCTTATGTGCAGCCTTGTGACCTATTACAGATTAATATGAGAAGTGGAGCTGCACAAAAATTCTAATGTAATCTTTGGATAATGGTTTAGTAGAAGGTGGGGGGTTGGAGTATTTAGACATTTTACTTAAGTAAAGGTAATAAAGTATATAAAAATATAAAGCAAGAGCAGAAAACTGCATAACATAGGCATACTTAAATTTTCCCCTCAAAATTCCCTGATTCTGGGATGCTACTGGAGGGATGCTCATCGTTGTTCCTAAAGAAATTCCCTGGCCTAATGCTTGACTTCATTAATACACAGCAAAGCATTTAGTGAGGTTTTGCAGAATGCAGACTGAGCCACCACTCGCATCAGAATGGAAATGTTTCACCTTTGGATAAACCTAATCTCTCAAGACAACCTTACATCTAAGAGTTCAATAGGGGCAGAGTGTGAAAGTTCTTCATTTAATTAGTCACCCATCTACAGTATTTCGAGATAGTTTGCTTCCAAGAACTGAGAATTTCTTGTCATTCATCATATTTACGTACTTTGTTATGAAAAGCTAGTCATAAAAACATAATTTGTTCCCATTTCTTTTGTTGGATGCACAAAAAAATGCCAAAGGTAAATACGTTTGACAGGGATAAAATAGTATCTTTGCTCCAACAAGGTGGTTCCCAAAGAACTATTACTTAAAACTTGGGATATTTCACCATGGTGTGCATGGTGTCCTTAAAACATTGGAAGAAACTGGACAATTGGAGGACAAAAGAAGAATGATTTCTAATCTCAATGAGAGTTTTACCTGGATAACTAAAGGACTAATAGAAAACAAGAAGTGGCAGGCCTTAAAAAAAGACTATGTACAGCTGATGAACCATATCTGAAAGTTATGTGCTTAAGGTCAAACACAGCTCCTGAAAAATTATGTGATTATGAATGCAGAAAGGTACAGTCAGATTTTGATCTACCATGTTTTGCAATCTGGAACGCATCTCATTGGTAATGGTTTAATTTGTCAGCTTGAAAATGATCCCAACCACACTCACAATGCAATAAAAGCATATGTGATTAGAAAAACACACAATGGAACACTATCGATCATGGATTGGCCTCCCCAGAGCTTGGAGGTGGACAATACTGAAGCAATGTGGGGCCATATTGATGGAGAATGGAAGAAAAGAAAGCCAAAATCCAAAGAAAGAGCTATGAATGTTCTTCAATAAGTCAGGATAATTATTATTAAAGAAATGACAAGAAAGCTTGCCTGAGAGAGGGCTGAAGAATATAGAATATGTCAATAGAAGGTGGTCATTAAGGTGGTTTTTGCCTCTCTTTTTCTATGTGTCTATGTACGTTTTCATAAATCTCTCTACTTCTTTCACATTCTCCCAGAAAAATATACTTAAAACTTTTTCAGAGCACTGTACATCTGAAGGAGTTGAACAGTAGTTCGTTCCCTTTTGAGTTTTATTTTTGAAAGACAAAGCCGGAAGTCTTCCGCGCACTTCCGCGTAGCTTGACTCTTGGAACTGAAGACGCCCATTTCCAGTCCACACCCGCCCGGCTGCTGGATCGATCCTCCCCTCTTCAGTAGCTGGATCGTCACCCTGGATGCCGATCAGCACCGCTATTCTACCGCAACAGGTAAAAGAATAGAAATCATTCCCACGCTTATACCGAACAAAATGCATGACTTGCTGGATACTGTCGCTGAAGATTTTCTTCCCCTCTACCTGTTCTTTCAAGGTAAGTGGGATGTCCTGCTTTATTAAACCCAGCATTTAAAAAGGCGAGGCAGTGCAGCGTATTAACAACGAGGTTTGTCTACCTGCAGTACAGCCCATTGTTAATGTTTCATCCTGAAAATATGTGGAGCTCTCAAACCTGTCTCTGAGCCACTAGTGCCAGTCTTTTGTCTGCGTTATGGATGAAGAGCACCCCATATGGCTGAAAACTGGTTCTTCAGATCTTTTCACTGTTTACTCATTAATTTTGCTTGTTTGAATAAGGCGGAGAAGAGGAAAAGGAAAACTAACCTGGATTTAAAGAGAAATTCATTTTTTAAAGCAGTCAAAATAGATTTAGGCTCTAAATTACTAGTCTTTTTTTCAAGATAATATAATTATCTATGTATATTATTAGATATATACTGTCTAATAATATATATACTATGTGCAACAACAACAAGCAGGGAATGGCATATTGTTTTTATGATAAAAGGTGTAACTCCAAAGGTTATTCCTGTGTTCCCTCAGGTACTACTTAAAGGAAATGACATGCTTCCCTGTGACTATTAAACATGCTGAAAATCACTGCTGTGTTTAACCTGAGGGAGAAAATCTATATGATATTTCTCAAAGTCACTTTAACGGTCTGCTGGGTGTCTGTGCTCACCTTCTTAGGCGACTTACATTTGGCACTTCCTCGGTTAAAAGATGGAAAATATAACACGAGGAGGGCCTCCGGTTCGAAGCCCGTCAAATGCGTCTGTTATCTTTATTTTTCCTGATATAAAAAAGTGTCATCAGCTGTTTAATAGTTGAGCAAAGGTGTGAATTTCCATTCTTATATATGAGATGACTGGGGCAGCTTTGGATGTTTATGCACGTACGTGTTGAATCACTGCAGCAAAGACTAATTATAGAGATTGCTTTGTGTGTGCTTGTGTTTATGTGTGTGTTCTGCTGCCCTCGGTGAAAACAGAACGAGGAGACTTTCTTTGCTGAAGTGGCAAAGTCCATGTGACTGCAATTTCTGTGACATCTGTGCTTTATCCCAGAAGGGACTGTTGCATATCCACCTGCCGAGACTCAAAGCGTTGCGTAATATCCACACGTTCACATAAGTGTACAATACACCAGTGTGGTGAAAGAGGAACCTGATGTGCTTCAGAGTCCATTCTCATATAGCAGTTACAGTGGCATGGATGCTGTATTGAGGTTAATTTGGCATTATTATTATTGTGTCTTAAGTATGTGGGGAAGAAGATGAGGTTGGAGGTGCTGCTGAGTGTGTGTTTTTCACTTCGGGGGTGGGGGGAGTGTACAGGAAGTTAACAAAAAAAAGGTGAATCATTTCATTGAGCTGACACATAAACGTACCAAAAAGATTAGAATGATTCTTCTGTCGGAAGCGTCCCCAATTTTCACCTGCAGCCCACTGGGGGGAAGGTGTGTGGCATGTGTGCGCTTGTGTGTGTCTGCTCTCTTGTGAATAGGAGGAAAATCCCAGCACATGCACACAGGACACACGCATGCACACAGGCTTCTTTCTTCCTCAGGCTTCGCAAAGCTTCCTGGGCTGTGTCCGCTAGAACAGGGTCCCCCTCTGTGTGAGGAGGGTGTGTTGGACACACTCCGCGCACACAGGCCGAAACATTGATATTCACGTCAGACCGGTCCAGTGTGGTGCACACAGGTGTCAATCAGCATGCTGGGCAGAGTCAAAGGTTCTTTGATTCATTTTGTTCCTCAGCACTGCTGGCTCTTAAAGGATTTATGTCTTATTCCTCATATTAGAAACTTTCAAAATGCTTAATGCAATGTTATTTTTAAACATCAGTGTAACATCAAGGCTAGCTTTGCAACTGCTGGCTTTGCAACATCAACCTGTGTAAGTATGAAAATAGTGTGTGCCATTTGTTCTTCATTTGCTTCTTAAAGACGCCAAAACTAGAACTAAACTTGCGCTGCAAAGTAATTTGTTCTATGCTCAAATTTTTAATGGTTTATTTTCCGTCTTGATTATTTTTGTAGTATTTTGTGTCCAAAAGTTCATTCGGGGATCTGGCATGATTTGAAGTAGCATTGTGAGATGACTGTGTTTCTCTCCACTACATCTGCCATACCAGCAGGGGCCGAGCTGCAAGGTAAATCAAATCAAAGACGCATAATGACATTTTAAAGTTATTTTCAGACATCCAAGGGACTTCAATCAGTGTACCATTTTGTTGTGAACCTGTGCAGGTACAGTCACTGTTGATGTAGAGGGTGTCCTCTTTCCTCTTTTGTTGATTCAGTGCCGTTGTCATCCAGGATATAGCATGTCCTGTTTAAACAGTGGAGTCTCTTCTCTAACCTAGCCAACGGGAGATATTGTTATATTTGACACCAGGTACACCTCAGGGTACAGGGTTGTGTATAAGGGTGGATGAAACTCTGCTAAAGGCCTATACATGTTTGCACATGGAAGTGTTAGGTACACGCAAATAGCATAGAGCTATTGTGAAAAAGAAAGTTTGCACAGGACTCTGTGCAGTCCTGGGAAAATCTAAGTACATCCTTTAAGAGCATTTAAGCGGGTAAGAAGCAGCTAGGTGGTGCTAATCCAATGCACTTGATTAACTGATGATCATCAAGTGTGAGCACCTCTGAGGCAGACGTTTTGGCAGTTCAGTTGTTTGTTAACACAGTGACACATCATCTCAGACCATACAGGCCGCAGTTAGCATGTTAGGTGTTAACGTTTGTGAGAGTACACTTAGAAAAAGACTGTAGAAGTATGGATTTTTTTGGAGGCGTTAACTGGAGAAAGTCTCTAAAAGGAATATGGCAGTATTGCTTAGACTAGACAAGACTTCTGGAACAATGTTCCTTGGACAGACAAGACCAAAGTGGAGATGTTTGGCCATAATGCACAGCACCATGTTTGGAGAAAACCAAACACAGCATATCAGCACAAACCTCTCATACCAATGGTCAAGCATGGTGGTGCAGGGGTGATGATTTGGGCTTATTTTGTAACCACCAAAGTATTCTAGAGTCAAATGGGAGTCCATCTGTCTGACAGCTGAATTTTGACTAATGTAGCAGGACAGTGATCCCAAGCACAGCAGCAAATCCACAGCAGAGCGGCTGAAAAGAAAAGATTCAAGGTGTTGCGATGGCCCAGTCGTGGCCCAGTCCAGAACTCAACCTGGTTCAAATGCTGTAGTGGGACATTGAAGGTGCTGTGAATAAACAAATGAGTTAGGGGAGTCTATGTTAGCTGTCATAGGGAGAGAGGCAGGGGACACACTGGATAGGTCCCCATTCTGTCACAGGGCTTAAATATGGAGAAAGACAACCATTCACACCTGTGGCCAATTTAGATTCAGTAATTACTCTAACCCTGTGTATGGGACTGGGGACGATACCAGAGTACCTGGATAGAATAAACTCCACACAGAAAGGCAGCAACCAAACTGCATATGAAAATAACAGTGCTAAGCACCAGATCACTATGACATCCCTAATCATGAGGGATACTTAGTTTTTCTTAGAAGATTGCATAGAATACTTTGAAGACATTACTTTTTCCACTAGTGCACATGTACTCACACACAGAGACACATACACATAGATGAGCAAACTGCCAACTTTCTGTGTATATATGTGTTAAGAGAATATTTCATTACTTATAGGACCTCATCTCGGGTGAGACACTGATGAGGTTTTAGTACATGGTGATGAGTTAGCCACACAGTTTCAACAGATGGCAACAACAAGGAAAAGTGAGATCACTTCAAGTGAAGTGGGAGACTGAGCACTGTAAATCTTTACTGGGTGTAAAGAGAGGTCCATGTATTTGCTTTCTGTTCTTTTCTTTCTTTCTTTTTTTCCAAAGAACATAATTTGCATCATCATTTTGATGCTTGAATCCACACACCAGCAAAGATGAGTCATAGATAGGGAACAGAGGCTCCAGGAAGTCACTGAACTGAAAAGAGGCATGCAAGTACAGCACAATGTGTTTCTTCAAGCTTAATCGCAATGTGTTGCTGTAAAGGCGAGCTGCATTTTCTATGTACAGGCAGTTTGTGCCAGAATATAATATCTAGACTATATCTCGTTTTTTGGGGGGGTTTTTTTGTTAAATAAAACTTCCCACACAACCCGTGGGTTGTCATGTTCAGGCTTGTGGAACAAGCTGCAGTCAGGTCCATATGTTTTTGGACAATGACACATATTCTTTGTTGTAATTTTGCATCTGTATACCACTACACTGGATTTTAAGTCAAACAATCAACATTTGATTAAAGTGCAGACTTTTATCTTTAATGGATTTAGCAAAAGCACGGTCCCCCATTTTTAGAGACTCAAAAGAAATTGGTCCAACTAAAATAATTTTAAATATGGGGATTGCTGGAGAATATTTAGCAGTTAATAACTGTCTGAAGTCTAAAACCCACGGGCATCACCAAATGCTGTGTGTGGTCCTTTAAGATACTTTATCAGGCCTTTACTGGAGCCACCTTCAGTTGCTGCTTGTTTGTCGGCCTCTGTATTCAGCTTCAACTTCAGTAACTAAAGAGTATGCTGTGTTGTGTTGACTGAGTGACCATTGAAGAATATCCTTTTTCTTTGGTGTGAGAAACACTTGGTTGTTTATGGAGTTTGTGCCTCCCTGAGAGTGTTCTTGCATTGGTACTGTAAGTTGTTGTGAAGCTGTTGAGAACCATGGAAATAATTCTGTGGTATTTCAGGCATTTCGGTGTTGCTGAGCTAACCAGTGCATTCATTCTATTTAAGAATGTACCAGATTGTTGATTCTTGCTATCTGTCTCTGGTTTTCCAGCCTAATGATAGCCTCCCTCACTTGCACTGATGTCTCTCTGGACCTCATATTCATACTTTTACTGAATGGTTACCAAATACAAGTTCAGCAAGTGGAATCAACTCCAGATCTACCTATCGATTTATCCAATTACTGTTAAGGCTCAGAGAAATGTGTATAAAAATGGCTGTAATTCTTAAATAGCTAATGCGGTACGCTTGCAATGCGCTTTAATTAAAGCTGAAATTACATATTGTTTGTTTGATGTAAAATACACATTCAGTCTCATATTGATATGGTCCCTTATTTTGCACACTGTACATAGATGGCAGTAATGTGCAAAATACATGTATACTCGCATATTTTTATACAAAGAACTACAGTAATGTGTATAGCTTTAATAATATTTCGACACAATCTTGCATGCTTCATATTTATCTGTTTCTCATAGTTCCATAGCTCTCTTGTACACTATGGGATTTCGATTCTGTGTTAGTCCTGTAGGATTAAAAACTGACGATAACATTGATTCTGACTTTTACTTATAGATCTAACTGTAAGATTTGTATAAAGGTATCCATTTCTTGCATTGCATCCAGATATTTAATTAAATGCCCTTGTAGAAAACTTACAAGCATACAATAAATGACAAAAAATTACTTCTGCATTGATACATGAATATGAATTCTTTTGTTAATTTGATATTTCTGCTTTTGATAGAACTGACAAATATTGGTGTGTATATGTTATCTGAAATGCGCTGATGCGAAGACCATTCTATTGCAGAGTGTGATGCAGGAAAAGATGATCGTACTCTGACTGTCCTGTTTAACATGCTGTAAGGAGCTAGTTTGTGAAATCCATTGCTGAAGATTAGCCCCATTATTTTACTCCCTAAAATCTATATCATCACTCATCCCCAGAAGACAGTTTGTGTCAGCGTCCATTCACTATAAAACAATTGTTTTCCTGTAACTGCTTCCTGTGTTTCTATTTTAGTTGGTATTTTTTTCATAAAATTGGCAATTTAGTTCATAAATGTCAGTATTGTTTGCTAGTGCGCGTGAATTATTTGTTGCCTATGTTGTACTGTATATGCGCGGGTTTGCACGGAGCCGCTGGCGCAGACACTCGAAATATACCGAAGCATAAGCCTCAGTGGGCTGTTCATTGCTCTTAAGTAATTGGCAGTGCCGGCATGTACAGACAGTGATTTATACTACAAGATAGCCACAGTCTCCCCTCCAGGAATTCACACAAAAACAGGGAAGCAAATGATGGAGCAATAGTGTAATAAGAACGGAAGGGGAGTAGGAGTGGAAAGAAACTATGTGGGAATCATAAGAGATACGTTTCAATGAATGATGAATAAGAAATAGAGGAGTTGAAATAAAAAAAGACAGAGGGAGGGGTGAAGTGAGGAAAAAGTTGTGATGGAAGGACTTAGTGAAAGCAAAAAAGGAGATTGCTTAGACCTGACAAGAATCACAAGTGATGAGGAGAAACACTGCCTGTTAGCTATAGGCACGCAAAGAGAAATGAGAGGAAATAAGGAGGAAATGGATGGAGTGAAGTGGAGCGCCTAACAGAATCTTAACAACAAGATTGAAAGAGTTGCTACCTATAGGTGTGGTTTATATGCAAAATAAGCTTGAATGTCGTGGTAATTTGGGGCTTTTAATTATTGTTTTCTAACACAGACCTGGCTTTGAAGTATAGTATAAAAACCTTCTATATGGTGGGGTCGGTGAAGCTTGATGTTAGTCTGCTTTATCTATCCCAAAACCAGATTTGATTTGTGTTTGGGTTCCTGTTGGACCACCCAGTCGTGTCCAAGTTTCAACTATCCAGCTGTTGATTTCAGGTGAAGTTGAAGAATCTGGACGTAGTCCTCCTTCTTCATTATTTCATCAAATTTGTGCATTGTACCAGTAGCAGTGGCAGCAAAATAGCCCCAGAGCGTGATGCTAACACCACCATGCTTAGCAGCTGGTTTCATAGGCTTGAAAGTAGGCTGTGCGATATGACCAAAATCTCATATCCCGATATAACACATTTATCGTCCCGACAACGATATATATCACAAAAATTCTACATTGTCTGTAAATTCTGTGAATCTCGGGCAACTCGACTTGTGTCAAGTGTTTTCAGCTGGGCGTCCTGTACCCGGAGTCGAGTGATTGACCGATGCAGGCCAAACTGCATACATTTACTATACATTTTTAGACATACAGTAAGTTGAAACGGCCGCAATTTTTGTTGGCCTGTTCTAAGGTTTATTTGTTAGCACCTGACGGCTCTTTTTAGCTTCTCATCCGTAAACACTGTGCATACTATTTCACGTGATTCAGTTTATTTTGAAAAATCTCAACAGGATCTTCAGCTTTATTGTGAAAGGTTTATGTGGAAAATATACAAGCGGACGGCGGAGCCATGCGATGGTTTTACCGTCGCATAAAAACAGTCGCTTGTTCGTTCATAGTGTGGTTATATTAAATATAAGAGAAAGAGAGAACTTTAAGAAATAAATTCTGCAGTGACCATCAAAACAATGAAAAAATATTGCCGATAGACGTTTTCATATCAGCATCCGATATATATCGTTATATCGAACATCCCTACTTGAAAGCCTAACTTTTAGTCCTCCAAACATGCCTTACACAAACAGTGTTTATGAGTGGATCAAACCACTTACACATAAAGCTAGTTTTCCATGTTACCTGCATGGGCTTATCTGCTCCTGGGACTATGCCAAAGATCCCAACAATTAATCTCATCAGATGGGCCAGGCTCCCTGTTGGCATACCACTTTAGATTCTGACTGCACCCAAAACAGTGATAAATTCTTATTGTTTTCAAACTGTACTTGCTTTATTAGAGTCATATATCTATATTTGTCTCAGTAAAACACAAATATTTGTCTAAGAGCATCCATACGCCTTATTAAGGTCCAGAAATTTGTATTATTACATAGTATACAAACGAGATACATAGAAAGCAAAATGTCACAGACAAAATAAACAAGCTGATACATCAAGATTTCCAAACTACAGCCACCATCTGTAATCTCAGAGCAGGCAGTAATAAAAGCAGCCTTTCTCCCAGACCACTATCATTTCTTCCCCCAGTTCTATTC